CCAAAACTTGCAGCAGTAAAATCCTGGCTTGCTTTGCCCTCCAGAGGTGTGGACATTGCCCAGAAGGCATGGGAGTGCTGGAACCCAGCCTGGGCACCTCAGGCCACCACGCAGCTGTGTTAACGTAGCACACATGGTGGCTGCTTCTTTAAAGGCATCCACTGGCCTCTTGTTTTTCAAATCAGATGCACATTTGCTTCTCTCTGAATAAAGGCAGAATAAGAGATGCTGATGTCCTTTTCAGATCAACCGTGCATTTTGAAATGGAATGAAACAGGCTTTTAGTGTCTCCTTTACATGCAGCTCGCTATGTGTTTTCCAAGAGCACATTTGAGTTTTTATGCTTTCTGGCAACTGTAAATTTTACTCTTGCTGACAGCAGCAGTAAATGCTTTATGCAGAACAAAATAACTCTGTGAAAAGTTGAACTCTGTTTTCTAGTTCCGTAAAATACCTCTTGGTGCTAATGCAAACAGAAAGCTGCTTTGCTCTTAGGGAAAGGTGAGGGGAATAGAGGTGCTAGCTTCTTGTAGACTGCATGCTACTGCTTTTAGTGGCATTTTGCAGGCAATAAAAATGCTGTTTTTCTTTGTAAAATGTACTCTTGCTTTACTTTAAAAAAAATCTAATGTACTTGTGAAGTAAAAGCTGCTCACAACAAACCTAACACTTTTGACAATTCCATTAGATACTTTTCTGTTCATACCAAACTCTATGTGCATGCTTAAAGTTAACAAATTATGTCACCGGGACTTGTATGCATATGCTTATGTGCTTTCCTTCACAAGAGCATTAAGCACATGGTAATATTAAGCCTCTGTTCCTCTGCACGTTTTTTGATGGAACAGGACTAGATTGCTTACGTTTGTGAAGTATGGATGAAGTCCTTGGGGACTGATGCTACTTCAGCTGAAATCAGTTACAGAATTCCTCTAGCTTTTAGAAGAGAAAGACATTATCCTCTTTGGATATATCTGACTGCTGTCATGATTACAAAGAAAGAATGTCCACTGATTTTGGTGGAAGTGATGGAATAAGAGGGGCAGTAGTCATTGTACCATTAAAATAAGAAAGAATAATAGAAGGGGCTGAATGCAGAATGTAATTATGATCACACTTCAAAAATTAGACCTGGTCTTATAGTTTACATTCTAATTCACCATAAATGACCAAATATTTAAATGTATACACCTGAAGTAAACACTTAAGTTTTAAATTTTTTATTTTGAGGCAGGAAACACTAAACAAAAGGGGGTAAAAATCGTACATATATATTTGGCACTTCAAAGGTCCAACCATAATTAATGCCCTTCATAAACATTTAATGAAAAATGAATTTATGTCATTTAGCCAAATTCATTTGTGGTTGCATTTTCAATCTTTCTAGATTTTTTGGTTTCCATATTGCTGAAAGGCACAAAAATTTCTCAAATTTATTCAAGCTGTTAGAAAAGAAATGCACACAGAACATTAAGTAGTTGCTCAAATGTTGCTGAGCAGTAAAATACTATGATAAAGTGGCATCTTGCTGTGTCTCTATTACTTCTTCAGCACTAAAATTAATTTATGATCAGTCATCAATTCATTTACATGTCGTTTTATGCTAAATCCATCGTTGCTGATGAATGCATATCCCCAGATCCATTAAGCTAGAGTAAAGCCTGTGCTTTATAATATGACCCTGCTAATTGTTGCATTACCATTTTTATGAGATACAAAAAGTAGCAGTTTCCTATTTTCTGAGCACATATTTAATCCATGAAACACATTCTTCCTATTAAATGCAATCTGTCTAACTGCTTATAGAATAGAATCTTTTGCAATAGGTAACCCTAAGCAAATCAATATAAATATTGAACTCTGCCATAGTAAAATATGGCTCATGAAAATGATTTTGTGTAATTTTCAAGAATTATTCCATTTGTGCTCAGACACAATGAATGAACAACTTTTAGTATACAGACAGTGATCAGTGATTCTTTTAATCAAGACCAAAACATGCCAAATAAGGGATTTTCTTCCTTGCTGAGCTATACAACCTATAGAGATCTTTATAATTTCAGATCTATATAATTCTGTTGGAAAAAAAGAATTGTTATCCATTTGCAGTGGTACTGTTTAAATCTCTCTGCTTATATCGGTTTGTTTCAGTTAGGTAGAAAAGGGCTTGTTCTAATTTCCGTGCTAGTTAATGGGTGTATATCTCCCCTCAGCCAAAATGAATCAGGACTGAGGATACAACAGCTCTCACCTCCAGCTTCACTGGTGGTGCTGGGGGAGGAGAAGATAAGGAGAGGGCAAAGAAAACCCGCAAACCATAATACTTTGATCTGACAAAACCTAGTATTGTTCTTAGTGATTTCAGTGAGAAGTAAATTAATTTCTTATACAGTCATCATGTGCAATTAATTAAGTCTATTAAAGTAGAATAATATAACAGATTCTTCGTGACCATTCATGCCATAACATGCACAGCAATTCATTATAAAGGCAAACATTAAACATAAGCACCCCCCCCATATTTCAATATGTCTGACAGCAAAAATAACCCTAAATAATTGTGAATTAAAAGTCAAGTGAGCAGAAGTTTTGCAGCTGCTTTTCAGTTTGTTTTTTTGTTTGTTTGTTTTTGGGTTTTTTTGGGTTTTTTTAATCAGAATCAGTAATTCAGTATCCTAACAAACCATGCTGGGAGTGAAGCAAAAGTTTGGCTTTAATTTCATATTCCATCCCACAATGTTCAAATCTGAACCTCCCTCCTTGAGTTGTCTCTGTAATATCTGGAAAACGCTATGATATAGTTACTGTGCACTCCTCCTTTCTTTTCACTTTGATATACATGTCAACATTATGTCTCTGCCACCTGCAAAGAGAAAAGCTTAATAGCACAGATTAAATCCTTGTCTGAATCTTCAGTTAGCTGTAACTAAACTCAAGGGCCTGGAAGACAACTTGACTTTTAAACAGTTTAAAGGAGCAACACTGTGGTTTCAGAGGAATTTAGCAGTTTGAGCTCGGCTCACACAGCACCAGCATTTCCCCTCAGAGAATCCCACATTTGGCGTTGGATGAAAACCTTGGTCTCAGCTCAGCCAGAAAGAACAAAGCACCATTTCACTCTGAGAGTGGGTATCTTCAAGGCATCCCTGAGGCATGCTAACAGTACAGGGTGACAAAACTCGCCCTTCTCACCATACAGCAACTCTATTTGGAGGAAGTCTTGACCGAAGGATCTCAATTTAGATTTCTCACAAACACTGAACTCACAATGCATGCTTCAAAATGAACAGAAATGTTGCTTCATCTGGGTCAGCTGTTCCCATTTGCCTCCATTTTTTAATATAATGTTTAAAGAAGTGAAAATGTGGTATATAAATTCCTAGGAAAATGCTGGTTTAAGTCACCAAAAGCCTTGCTAAAAGAAGTAGCTTATATATTCTCAGTGCAAGGAAGAACAATTTAGTTGTTCTACAGTATTCTAAAAGCAACCAAATTAAAGAACAAGAAACAGCTTAGAAACAATTAATGCAATTTGTTATATACCCCCCTTAACACCAGTAAATACAGCCTGGAAGAGTTAACAGAAACAGATACACAAAAATTAAAATTCTCTTTTGAAAAAATTCACCCAATTCACAATTTCCTCCCACCCCTAGAAAAAAACAAGGTGAAAAAAAGCCCTCATAAAATTGAGGTTTTACCCATATAGTAACAGAGGAAAACAGAAGTAGTTTTGTTATTTGGAGAGTTTGCTTTTTTACAGATCATCTTTGTAAGGCTATATTTTTGTAAGGCTATAGTTCCATAATTGTTTTAAGTGAATCTAAGTGTTGGCTATATGCTATAGGGGCAGTCTGTCATTTTGCTTCCCTTCCAGCTGTGCTGGCAGACACCTTGCCATGCAGTGGACCAGATCAAGGAACAGATCCAGCTAGTAATAAAACAAGAAAAACCTTAAATGTCAGCTGGATGAGGCTACCTCAAGATAGTGGTGGAAATGAGTGGGAGTGCATTTAGATCACCTTAAGTACACTCTCAGGCTACATTACAAGGTTCTGCCCGATTAATTAAAAAAAAAAAATACACCAGGAAGTTTTTAACACTCCAATAATTCAACATTTAACATTCCAAAAATTAAATGAGATTTCTAACTATTAGATCAAGCTTGAATGTTATTCATAAAAGGATAAATTGTAATAAGAACAGACATCTACGAATTAGAGCAGAAATGCAGCTATTCCTTACTTTGTGCTAGGTATGGTAGTCCAAAATACTAGGTGAAAATGCAAATGTGAAAAAGATTCATTTTCTGATTTACAGACGTATCAACATTGACATATTAATACATACCAAATGGAAAATATATAGCCACCTGATTTTTTTTTTTCTATTTATTTCTGTATTACCAGTGTAAAATCCTTACCGCATTCCTAATGGAAAGGCTTCTGAGCCATTAGTGAGAGATGCAAAAATATGCAGAATTGTAGCCTGAAGGAGATTATACTAGAAATTCAAGCCAAGTGACTTAACATACTCATGCACTAATAAGTTAACCTTCTCAATTCAGGGATTTAAACTTTAACTTTACGGCCTTCAATTGGATCTGGATTTCAAATCGCAGCAGCAGAGATACAATTCTTAAATCTTAATTAGATTGGCAAGCAGTCTGGTGCTAGGGTGAAGGAAAACCTGGAAGGAAAAGTGGGATTAAGCTACACACTATTTAATTCAACAAGGGAAAAGGAAGAAAATTATAGGTATTGATGCTCCATCACTGTCATATTCCTGCAGTGCTTTCAGAATAGCAGTGTTTAAGTGAGGGTGTAAAATCCTTGGAATTTCAAAGGTCCAGAATAATGAGATAAAATTCAGCAGCACTATGGTAGTAACGTGTACTGAGCAAGTCTCCCTTAAAGTACAACTAACAATCAGTGTTCTTCCACAGAGATCAAAGACTGAAGAAGCACCCACTAGCTTTTATGAACTGTGGACACTACGTACATTTGGGTCTCCAATAAAGCTGTACATTATGGATCCAGTATACCGTATAAAGGCCCAAGTCTAACGGAAAGGGAAATATGCTGATGCCTACAAAAAGTTCATTATGTCCATATACAATCTGTATTTTTCAAAAAATATCTTTCACTGCCTACATTTCATCAACAGCAAATTTATTCATTCAGATCCTGTGCATTAGTTTAGCACGCCTTTCTAGGTCCCCTTTGATGATCCCTGTTGTAACTTTCCACAGCATGCAAAGGATGAGAAGCAGCGAAGGAAGGAGTGTCAGAATAATTAAATGTCTTCACTGAAAAGGAACAATTACTTAATTCAGCAATACAAAGTAGGTTCAAGATACACATTTTCCTACACAAATGTTGCATTTACTCTGCAAATAAATGTGCTAACTACACTTATTCTGAAGTCTTTAACTTCCCTGTGTTCATCTGTGAAAGCATTTACCCAGCAAAATATCTAAAAGTGCTTTAAGATAACATTTTTATGCTGCTCCTGATTTATGAAATATATATTCCTAAGCTGAGGTCTTCCCCCTCCTTTTTATGTAACTGGCTTTCTTCTCCAGTAGAGTGAACTTTCATGAAAGCTAGAATATAATTGAGTTTTCTTTCAAGTCTTTAAAGCTTTTTAAAATTCATGAATTTTCTTATCATTTTGCAGCAAAGTATTTTCAAATCCTTCTTTAACTTTAGTGTTTAATATTAACACATTTTAAATGTTACAGAAATAGTGGAATAAATTTTCACTTAGGAAGTGTTGTATTGATGATGATTACTGTTAGGAACAAGGTGGTGTCACTGTTAACTGTGTTTGGTTACCTGTCACAGAGCTGTCTAGATTGTCCATACTGGAGCCTGGAGTATGCTCTAGACCTCTTAGCGGCCTACTGATTTCTACAGTTTCTTCTTCAATATCATCTTCATCATCATCATCATCATCTGGAACATCTGTTTCCAAATCTGAAATAAGGTTTCCAGATACATATCCTAGGGGCGGAACTGGAGCCTGAGGAGGTTGTGTATTGCTTTGGATGTGCCTACACAAACAAACAGGAAAACGTCATCAGAATGGATGAGACTCTGTATGCCATGATCAATAGAAGACAAGCCTTTCAATAAGTCCTTAAGTAGATTTACAAAACATGCTCGTTAGGTCAAACTCAGGAAAAGTCAGTTCAGTTATTCACCATAGCTCCTAACACCAGAGTACCTGCGCACTTTCCAGTCTTTAGTATACTTCCCCTCCTATAAAATGGGGAAGGTCAAGATCGTCCTTTTACAGATGAGGAACAATGTACACAGAGGCTACATAAATCAGGTAGGAAGTCCATGGAAAAGCACAATTCTGAATCCCAACCTAGCATATAAGTGTCTCACCCAGTATTCCACCTTGCAAATCACACGTTGAGCCAAAATTAAATTTCACTCCTTCTGCTTGAACAGACTCAGTGCCCTTCAGTAGAACTCACCCTAAAGAGGAGGAAATGACCAGTAGGACAGAAGAAATTTTGAAGTCCAATAAACCCATTATCAGCGAGGCCTTTTTATTTTGCTGTATTCCAGGTATTTTAATTGATTTAATTGCAGCAGTATTAGGGCATGCATGTGTGAAATTACTGCATGCAGCAATCACAATTAAAAAAAAGAAAAATGAAGATAAAAAACACCCACAGGACAGCTACATGGCCAAAGGCAAGCACGGGACTTGGAGTTTCATTTACAGGGTCTCTGAAAGGCTAGAGAGGAAAAAACCAACCATCAGCTTTCAATGCAGCATTCTCCACAGCACTACAGGTACACAGCAAGCTGTGCCAGGGGACCGAGGCATGACTGGCCCTGGCATAAGAGCATGTACCATGCCTGAAATTGCTAACTTAGGCACGTGGGAATCCTTGGGTGGCTGTTCATGAGGTGCCGTGACCTGATTCGAATTGGCAGCGCTCTGGACGGGATCCAGGATTCTGCTGGTCTCTTGCTTGGACATCAGCATAACAGAAAAAATTACAACTGTCACCTGTTTGGTTTCCTAGCTCTAATATGTTTCTGATGAAAACTGTGTGCTGTATTATTGCCTACACTTGATAAGTGCTCTTTATTCAAACAGCCTTTTCTTTTTCATAAAGTAAGTCTATTGGATCTGAGAATGTCATAGTAAATGTTATGTACCACTGGAATCTCTCGCCACCTTGGTGTAGGTTTTAAATTATTGCTTATTCTGAAGCTTATTTGCAGAGCAAAGGCTTCCCTTCCAATATACAACCCCCTTCTGATTGGCAGTTCTTGAATATTCTTCTGTCTGGACACCAGGTTCTTAGCTATGCAGTGTTCAAAACACTGCGCTAAAGGGCACTACCATCTAACTAACCCTCAATAAACAGTGTGATTAGCTCCCAATCAAGCAAAATACTTAAGTATATGCTTAATGTTAAGCAGGTGATAGAACAATTGAAGTCAATTTCTCGTGTACTTGTAGTTAAGCATATACTTAAGTGATTTGCTGGATCAAGGCCATAATGATTATGTATTTTTCCAGTAATCTCTAATGTGTTCTTTCTTAAATTTCTAGTTGTCTGGTCTCTATATTTCTCTTCTATTACTCCTACAGTAACCTACCTGACAGGTCTCATCTTGTTGTTTTGTTTCCCCTCCCTCCCCCCCACATTGGACAGGTTAACTTTGTGAAAAGAAAACCAAGAACTCCTCTTTCC